TTGTGTGTGTGTGTGTGTGTGTGTGTGTGTGTGTGTGTGTGTGTGTGTGTGTGTGTGTGTGTGTGTGTGTGTGTGTGTGTGTGTGTGTGTGTGTGTGTGTGTGTGTGTGTGTAGATGAAGACGGCGTCCTCATCCTCCTGCTGCTCGTCTTGCATCAGTCTGAAGGATCGATGTCCTCGACCGCGGGGCCTCGTCAACCTGCTCATCACTAAAGGTAACACACGCCCACTTAGAGTAGACTTCATGAACACATCTGTTTACATCTGTGTGTGTGTGTGTATCTGTGTGTGTGTGTGTGTGTGTGTGTGTGTATCTGTGTGTGTGTGTGTGTGTGTGTGTGTGTGTGTGTGCAGTGTGTCTCTTCGCTCTGCTCTTCGGGGTCGTCTGGTCCATCACAGGAAGTCAGTGTTTACCTGGAGGGAACCTGTTCGGCATCGTCATCCTCTTCATCTGCTCCGTGCTGGGGGGGAAGCTGGTGGGAATGATCCAACTGCCCACGCTGCCCCCCTTCCCCCCACTACTTGGTACGACCCGACAGCTCAAACCATCTAATCACATCTGATCCTCCCCTCTTGAAAAGTTTGAAATGAAACATCCGATTGGACGTTTCAGGGATGCTGCTCGCCGGTCTGCTGCTCAGAAACGTTCCCTACATCACGAACGCCGTCTTAATCGACACCCACTGGTCCTCAGCCCTGAGGAACATCGCCCTGTCAATCATTCTGACCAGAGCCGGACTGGGTCTGAACCCCTCTGTGAGAGCACACACACACACACACACACACACACACACACACACACACACACACGCAGATACACAATTAACTGTGTTTTTTGCACGCAGGCGCTGAGGCGTCTGAAGGCGGTGTGTGTGCGTCTCGCCGTTGGTCCCTGCATGGTGGAGGCCTGCGTCATCGCTATAGTTTCACACTTCCTGCTTGGTCTGCCCTGGGTGTGGGGCTTCATCCTGGGGTAACACACACACACACACACACACACACACACACACACACCCTCCTGATTCTAAAAATGTGACGCTCTGTGTGTGTGTGTGTGTGTGTGTGTGTGTAGTTTTGTTCTCGCTGCAGTGTCTCCAGCTGTCGTCGTCCCGTCCATGTTGCTCCTGCAGAAAGAAGGATACGGAGTGGAAAAGGTTCGTTCATTAGATCACAGGTGATTCTACAAACCTCCACCAGGGGGAGCAGGAGGACAGGCTCAGAGATGAGCCACATGTCTGCTCCTTCCTAAACATCCTCAAGTGGGGCCCACAATGTGGTCACAAGCGTGAGGCTGATCAGGACTGCTTGGAGCCTCAAACCAGTAGGGGACCCCCCAAGGGCCTGTTCCACTTTAAACCACAGCAGTGACTCAAAATGTGCAAAGTTTGCAATGACAGTAGGAAACCTCCCTTAAGGGGCCCCATCTGACAGACCTCTCTCATATAATAGTAAATGACTGAATGATGCTCGTCCAGCCTTGAATATGACATAACTCCTGCTACATGTTTCTGTTGGTGTCAGATTATTTAAAGCATAATGGGGATGAACCCACCTCGGGTCAAACAGACTACTGAAGCACCAGCGCCCTCTAGAGATATCCTCCAGTAACACATGTAGTGCATAGGGAAGTCTAGTACAGATTTTTTCCAATTGCTAAAACACAATTTTGCAAACTAGTCTGGTTTTTATCAAAAAACACAATTCACAAAACCACAAACCCAAACTGCAAAATGAAGCACTGCAACCAAAACTACACACAGCATTATCAAAATCAAACTTTTACACACTTCATTCATATTACCAGATTTTTGTCTAACCAACTACACACTGTTGGTCATAATGAAAAGCACTCTCATCTTTAGTACGCTTTGTGATAATACTAAAAAGAAAATTCTTCAGATTGTTCGCATGCACAGAAATATTTGCAGATACACACACATGCTGTTGAAACATTTATCTTTTGATTTTTCACCAAACAAGTCAGTGCAACATATGCACAGCAGATATATTTACATTGGAGTGAACAAAAAATATATGCTCACAAAAAAACAGTAAACTGAAAAAAGAAAATGTGCAGAAAAAATATATACCAGAATATACGTGTTCAGTGTGTTTAAAAAAAAGTGTCATTTTGAATTGCAAAATGTGTGTAAAGCAGAAAAAGGGGTTTCGACTTTTGGAGACTTGAGAAGAGGTTTTGCTCTCTGTGTGTCAGTTTAAATAATTGTGCTATGCATGTCATTATAGGGTGTTAAAAAAACAGTTAAAGTTTGTGTGTGAGAACACAGGAAGCACAGCTCAGGCCCAACAGGAATCAAGCTGAGTGGAGTGGTGTGACATTAAAGTGTTCTCTGTTGGTGTGCAGGGGATCCCCACCCTGCTGATGGCTGCTGGGAGTTTTGATGATATTCTGGCCATCACAGGATTCTCCACCTGCCTGGGGATCGCCTTCTCTACAGGTCTCTACATCACAACACGACCCAGTCCTGGCAGGTTTTCTCTGCTCAGAATAATGAGCTGTGTTTAATCTCCAGGTGCGACGTGGATGAACATCCTGAAGGGTCTCCTGGAGGTGGTGGGAGGGGTCATGGCCGGGCTGATCCTGGGTCTGTTCTTGTGCCTCTTCCCCAGCAGTGACCAGGTGAGAGTTCCTCCTCATACTGTGTTACGCTCGGGTTTGAAAGGTTTCAAACTCTCTGAATGGACTCTGGTTCTGACTCTGTGCAGGAGGACCTGGTCCTGAGGCGGACCCTCGTTTTGTTGGGTCTGTCCATATTCTCCGTCTTCTTCAGTCACGTCGTTGGTTTCGCTGGAGCTGGTGGACTCTGCACGCTGGTGTTGGCCTTTCTCGCCGCTCTGGGCTGGAAGTCGGACAAGGTAGCATCTGGATCACACACCTGGACGGGGACTTCTCCCAAATATCAGAATCAGGATCAGAATCAGGATCAGGATCAGGATCAGAATCAGAATCAGGATCAGGATCAGGATCAGGATCAGGATCAGAATCAGGATCAGAATCAGAATCAGAATCAGGATCAGGATCAGGATCAGGATCAGGATCAGAATCAGGATCAGGATCAGAATCAGGATCAGAATCAGGATCAGGATCAGAATCAGAATCTGGGTTTATTGCCAAGTACATTTACAGATAAAGGAATCTGACTTGGTGTATTGGTGCTAAACAATTAACAAGGAAATAAAACAGAACTAACAACAACTTAAATAATACAGAAGAAGAAGATATTACAATATATAAAATAGAATTTAAAAATGTAAAATATAAAAAACACAAAATGTAGAAAAGGTGCGATGTTAGCATTATCATTAGCATGACCTCTAAGTGAACGTACCTCTGAATCTGCTCATTTATTGTTTCGTGCTCAGGCTCCGGTGGCGGCCATGGTGGGCCGCTCCTGGGACGTGTTCCAGCCGCTCCTCTTCGGTCTGATCGGCGCAGAGATCACCATAGCGAAGCTGAACCCCAGCACCGTGGGTAAGGACTCACAGACAGGTCTCGGTTGGATCGGGTCTCGGTGTGATGGACACAGCTACTGATTGTCTCCGCACTCGACTGAAAGTCCAGAAGGATTTCATCCTGTGTCGATATTCTCCCAGATTCTGTTGTGAGTTTCTGACGATGGTTGAACTCACTGTGTGTTCAGGTCTTGGTTTGGCCTGCATCGCTATCGGTCTGGTGATCCGCCTGCTCGTCACCTTCCTGCTGGTCCACTTTGGAGGATTCACCCTGAAGGAGAAACTCTTCATATCTGTGGCCTGGCTGCCGAAGGCCACCGTGCAGGTCTGAAGCGCTTTTTAAACCCGTTTGTTCTGTCACACGTTTTGTACCGATACTGATGTTACATGAAGGGGGTCGGTGGTGGATCCTTAGGCTAGACCAGCTGAGAACTCTAGAACTACCTGAAGACTCCTTACTACATGGTTGTGTTAAATACTTGATTCTGATTGGCCAGCTATGCATAGCAACGGTCTGCTACCCCTCGATGGATCAGCGTTGTTATGAAAAATAAACCAACAGGAACAGACGGTTGCTAGGTGACGCGGCTCCAATCACAGACTCTGGTGGACTGTGAACACGGAGCTGAGAACAACAAACCACAGAGGGAGTTTGACTTCACTCTCCTTTTAAGGAAAGTCGCTGTTTCTTTGTTTTGTTTTGTGTCAGGCCGCCATCGGCTCGAAGGCGTTGGACATGGCGAGGGACGAGAAGAACGACACGTTCATCAAGTTTGGCCTGGACGTGCTAACGTTAGCGGTGTTAGCCATCCTGACCACGGCTCCCATCGGGGCGCTGGGGTATAGGCCTGGCAGGACCACGCCTCCTGACTCGACAGGTCAAAGGTCAGTGCATGCTCACACACTGCACACAAGAACCACAGAAGGACTTGCTGTACTTTATTCCTGATCAATAAAGTATCTCTCTGTAAACCAACGCCAGTCATGTGTCGTCTGTACATGAACTGATAGTTTACTCCGTTTATCTTTATGTTAACAGACGACACAGAAGGCGGAGCCACGACTCAGAGCAGCGCCGGGACCAGTCAAGAAAAAGACAACATGACTCTTGAGAGCAAACTCTGAGGCTTCTTACTGGATACACATATGATAAATAAATCTACAGAAGCCCTGAGTGGACACGCACGCATAGATTTTATTTTGCTCTTGTAGTGTAATTAACTTATTAAGAATTTCCTCGGGCCACAGGAAAAATGAACTTTAACTGTATAAGTTAATTAATTATTCAGTGTCATATCAGAATGTCAGTAAGTTCTCTAGGATAAAGATAAAGATAAACTTTATTGATCCCTGTGGGGGAAATTTGTGCATTACAGCAGCTCCAGAAAAACAGGGGACGGGAATATAATAATTAAAAATAAAAATAGAAGTTAAAATCAAATCAAACATATTTACATCATTTAAATAAAAAAAAAAAAAAAAATACAATAATGTAAAATTACACAGTAACTTGTTCTTAAAAAAACACACACAGTGTGTAGCATGAGGTGGTGATGTTGTTAAAGAGTCTGATTAAACAGTCTGACGGCAGATGGGATGAACACTTCAATCATTAAATAAAAATAAGTGATTACATGTGATTTTATTACAGGAATCGTGAACAATAATGTAGATTAATAAAGTAAATATCAAAGATTATAATTTGTATGACTTTAAAGTTAATTTCTTCCTAACAGGAAGTGGTGCCCCGAGGAATAATTAGAATATATTATCTTAATAAGTTAATTACGCTACACTCTGCTTGGCAGCGTTAACGAGTTTTAAGATCTCCACTTATTCATCTCGTTATCTCAGAACATCATCGCTGGTTTTCTTGTTGACTTGATTAAAGATCTGCCTGTGTGTCCGCTTAGGGCTTCCATACAAACCCTCGTGTTGTTACAGATCTGTTTTCATATCTCTGCCGTGTAATTTCTTTTTGTGCTTCTGTAAGCTAACGCTAGCTCTTAGCTGCTTCTGTCACACGTCCTCTAATGTTCAGGGTTTTTTTACTCTATTGTAAGCGACAGGACTTCATTTATGTCATATACAAAAAATGTACAATTAAGAACAGGGAATCACCCCGGGTACAATGTGTACTGTATATAGAAAGAGAGAAACTGTTTATAACACGGCTGTAAACATGTTTGTTTCTGCTGGGATCAAATGTGGATTGACTCACTTCTGCAGCCAGCCTCTAGTAGACACTTGGGGAACTGCAGATTTTACATTGGCTTAGCATTTTTCAGGTTGCCGCCTGGTGAAACCTCCAAACATTGTTTTGTAGTGTTAGTATTGTGTTTGTTGATTTGCTGTACTGTGAGCTGCGGAGCCAGATTACACAATGTGAACGTGATGGTCTGTAGAGGGGTTAGCTCGCTAATGTTAGCGTAGCATGTTTTTCATCTGTGCCTTAAATGAAAAAACCTCATAAACACAATAAAAGAGACACAAGCAGCTGTTCATTCTTTCATGTATGGAAAATCTCTACTTTTTGGATGTTTGTTTGTATCCACTCTTCAGTAGAAAGCTCTGATCTTTCTTCTAATGCTGCGGAGGAGACGAGCAGCGGAGAAGAAGAGGGCGTGGCTTCATGAGATCCTCGGGGTTACGACAGGATGTGGGAGAGTTTTAGTTCGTCCAGGAGCTGCAGCTCTATAACGACCACTTTACGAACATGACACATTTCTGCTGCTGTTTGAAACTCACCTGGTACGCCCAAACTGTCCGACGTCTTTCCAAACGAGCACTCTCTCTCCGTCTTCCCTGTAGGTCGTCTGTTTGTTGTGATGGGATCTTCCCTCCTATTGGACAACCTGCTTGGTGTGCCAGGGCCTTAAAGTCTTTATATGTGATGTTTTGATCCAGCAGATGTCGCCCCCTTGAGCACCAGCATGAAACCAAAACAACTCGCGCTGCATTGTTGTGTTAGCATGGTGGTGGATCCTTGGGCTAGACCAGCTGAGAACTCTAGAACTACCTGAAGACTCCTTACTACATGGTTGTGTTAAATACTTGATTCTGATTGGCCAGCTATGCATAGCAACGGTCTGCTACCCCTCGATGGATCAGCGTTGTTATGAAAAATAAACCAACAGGAACAGACGGTTGCTAGGTGACGCGGCTCCAATCACAGACTCTGGTGGACTGTGAACACGGATCTGAGAACAACAAACCACAGAGGGAGTTTGACTTCACTCTCCTTTTAAGGAAAGTCGCTGTTTCTTTGTTTTGTTTTGTGTCAGGCCGCCATCGGCTCGAAGGCGTTGGACATGGCGAGGGACGAGAGGAACGACACGTTCATCAAGTTTGGCCTGGACGTGCTAACGTTAGCGGTGTTAGCCATCCTGACCACGGCTCCCATCGGGGCGCTGGGTATAGGCCTGGCAGGACCACGCCTCTAATGCTAGCGATCTTTATTATGCTGGTATCTTCACACTGCATGTAAATTTACCTGAAATGAGCGTGATCTAGAAACACAGTTAAGCAGTGAGTACAGTATGTTATTCTTCTTTTCTCTAGTCCCTCAATTAAACAACTTTTATACACGAGGGGAGGAGTCAGCCGGCCGTCCCGGCGATGTAAACAAAGTGAAGATAGGACTCTGAAAACTCTGAAAACATCACAGACAGTGGGACTCGGGTGTTACACCCATTGTAGACAGTCATGACTCACAGAGGTATTTTCAGAGGAGCTACTTGATTTCTACATTTAAATGTGAAAAATCACATAGAAAGACTTTAATGTTAGGTTTACCTCCTAAGTTTAAACAATGATCTATAACACTTAAAAAAGGAAGTCTCATTCTGTGATGATACAATATGAAATCAGTATTTCAGCATGCCTTCCTCTGAATGCAGCAGGTGAAGTAACGTTTGCTTCCAGTGAAGAGCGGTGAAAACACAGACACGTATCTGTGGTACATTTAGAGTTATTCAAGGCGTTAAGTTAAGTGGATTTAAAAAAAAAAACAGCCTTGGTTTCTTACGAGAAAAAAACGACTGTTTCCTGTTACTTTTGTTGTTGCCACCACCAGTTTTCTTCTTCACACCTCAGATCACACTGAGGTGACCACAGCCCCAAGATGTGTTGACTCTCACATCGCTCCGCTGAGGCCGTTCCATTGGTCTAACCAGCAGCTGCATTGTTAGTCAAGATCTGTCTCCACAACACCACCTTTAGACAAAACTCAGTGAAGCTACAACAAATAGAAGGGTGAAGAAGAAGGGTTAAAATCTGATTCAGATTTCAGACGTTGATCCCAGAAGGGCCCGTTCAGTTTCACAGCCGGCTGAGTCGTTGACAGAAGCCGAGACAGGGTCACAGCAGCGTTCAGATAACAACATTCACATGTTAGCAACAACAATCCAACAGGTCGCCCAATGAGAAGCCAGAGATAGAAAAACATTCAGAAATGAGTTTAAAGTCCACACATCAACATTCAACCGCCTGACAGCTGAAGGGATAAAAGAGAATCTGTCGGTTCTCCTCCAGCGACATCCAGAGGGCGTTAAAGAAAAGACAGATGACAGAACGTGTCCAGGTTGATTTTTACGATTCCTTTGGATTTCTGGACCAGCTGGACTCCAATGATCTTTGCCCAGACTCGAGTCCTCCATCGATCTGACTCCACTTGATCTAATGCCACTGAACTCCAGCTCACTCCCTTCGATCTTTCATCACCTGACTAGACCCGACTCCTCTTGACTTGACTCCACCTTACATTGACCTGACCTCTTGACCTGACCTCTTGATCTGACCTCTTGACCTGACCTCTTGACCTGACTCAAGTCGACTAAACTCGACCTGTCTCCACCTGGTTCCACCTCTCTTGTTCTGACTCTGACTCGAGCTGTCCAGAGTTGACTCGATTCAACCTGTTGATTCCACCCGACTCAAGTTCACAAGAACCTAACCCCCAATGGACCAGACAAGACTCCACAGCTGTTATCACATTCTGCTCCAATCAGCTTCACTTTGATCTGATACCCACTCCACATTACCTGACTTGTGTGGACTCCCCCTGACTCTACCGGACTCCTAATGACTCCGATCAGCTCCTCATGGTTCCTCTCCCCTTGAATCGTCTGGAAGTCGACTCGACCGGAATCTCATCGAGCACACTCAACCTAACTTTCAAATCTAACTCCTCCTGCCTCGACTTGACTCCACTGACACCTCAACTCTCCTTGACCTGGCATCCCATAACTCCACTCATCCCATAACTCCACTCATCCCATAACTCCACTCATCCCATAACTCCACTCATCCCATAACTCCACTCATCCCATAACTCCACTCATCCCATAACTCCACTCATCCCATAACTCCACTCATCCCATGACTCCACTCATCCCATGACTCTACTCATCACACAAGTCCATCCAGCCCGGCTCATTGGTTCAGACTCTACTCCCTTTGAGCTTACTTTGACCCGAGTTAGCTCCTGAGTCGACTATACTCCACCTTTAACTCAACAAGTACTGACTCTACTTGTATTAAAGATGGAGTGAGTAGAGATGTTGGTTATTCCAACTGGGCCCCTCCTCCTGGGCTCATCACCCCCAGAAGCCCCACCCCCTGCAGGATGTAGAATAGAAGAATAGAATAGAATAGAATAGAACCTTATTTGTCCACAAAGTGGAGTATTGTCTTTGGCTTCACAAGAACAAGACAGAAAAAACATTGTGACAAATAAGACAACATTCAAGGTTTAAAAACGAAAAAAAGACAACAAAAGGTTCACCCTCGTTTTAGAACGAGCTTTATCCACTTGGTGTTTCTCTGAATTATATCCACTCCTAAACTCACCTGCTGCGCTGTCATTGGCTGGAGGAAACACACCAGCTCCGCCCACAAACGTCCCGAGTCAACCAGAACAAATCAGAACAGTAAAATCCAGTGAGAGGACAGAGTCTCTGCAGACACAGTCACCACCTCACAGGTATGGAGGCCCAGAAGGGACAATAGAGCAGCTTCACTTTAGAAGAAGTCTGTATTTTATTTTGAAGGAGACAGGAAACTGACTCCATCTTTAACTCAGTCTTATAATGATCCACTTGACCCGACCTGACTCCACTTGCCTTGACCCGACTTTCTCCTCAATTTGATCAGACTTCAACAAAGTCTATTCCACCTGACCTGAGCAAAACTAAATCATTTCACTTTGTTTATTCGATTGTAATTTATTGGACCCAGCCGATATGATGAGTCTTCACGTGTCTGTCCGTCAGATGAACTCTGACCCCTGTTTGTTCTGATGATGAGCTCTGAGACCTCACAGATGGATATTAAGATCAAACATATTTCATATTTCTCATATTTTTTAACAAACATCAGCAGAAGCAGGTTCATGAT